AGAGATTGAAGATTGAGGCAGAATGAGGGGGTAGGACATTTCTTGTCAGAATAAACAACATACACAAAGAATAGCTCTCCAGCACTTTGCAAAGGGTGCTAATACAAAATAAGTCCTCATTATTCACTACCATATATGGTGTGTGTGTGTGTGTGTGTGTGTGTGTGTCTTTCTTTGGGGGGTGCTAGCGACTGCATACAGGGGTGCTTAACCACTGAATCATATCCCCACCCCATTTTATTCATTTATTTTAAATTTTGACATAGGGTCTTGTTAAGTCACTTACAGCATCATTAAGTTTCTGAGGCTGGCTTTGAACTTGCAATCTCCTGTCTCAGCCTCCAGAGCCACCAGGATTAAAGGGGTGCACCACCACATCCAGTCATTATTTATGTTAATGGACTATTCTATTCTTTATAATGAACTACAACAGTGATAGAAGAAAAAGAAAGAATAATTTGAGGCTTTAAAAATATATATATTTGAGATAATTAGAGACTACCTACCAAGCTTGGCAAAACTTGGTGATAGTCTGGATGGGGAGATGTGAGAAGAGTTCAGGACTAGCCCAAGATCTCTTAAATCTACAAATGGTTGGGTAGCTGTGCCTTTATAATGGAACATAAAATGGGGAAATAAGATTTCAAATGAAATGATGATTAAGTCCATTTTGGGAATGAGGAGTTTGGGGATATTGTTAAATGTTTATGTCCAGCAGGCAGATGAATATATATGTGTGTTGCTCTCACAAGCTTTGGCCCTGATTAAGAAATCTGTGAATCATTAGCATAATTAATTATAACTGATTAAGAACATAAACACAAAGTCACTGGAAGTATGATACAGTGAGAGGAACAGTAGGCTGAGGATTGCTGAAGAACTGAGGAAAACAAACATCATAAGAACATAAATATAAAGAATTGGTAGTATCATAGGTCAAGAAGAGAGCTCTGAGGTGCAGATAATCTACCCCTTTAAAAGCAGCATGGAGTTTTAGACAGGTAAGTAGTATATAAGGGCACTGGATTTAGCAGTCAAGTCAACCCTGATGTTGGCAGTGGGGGTAGAAGCCAGACTACTATTCTTTAAAGAATGATTGAGAAAGTGGATGAGCAAATGAAAAGCCTACATTACTTCATTTTGTACACGTTCCAAGATAACAAAAACAAAATGGAATGATAAGGGCCAAATGCAGCAGTGCTCTAGGCATGGAACGCTGGTGGAGTGGCATCTACTGTGAAGTCAGCAGAGATTTGTTGGGCTTTAAAATAGAAATGGTTATAATTCCCCAAAGAATTTTCTAAGACCAGCTCTGTGAAACAAAGTGTGCTACTGGATATCCGATTAAATGGAAAAAAGATTCCCTAAAGGCAACCTTAGGGGCATGTAACATTTGCTCTCAATCATAAGAATTGATAGTGAAAATGCACTCTACTTGGAGCACGACATGTCACAACATACCATTCGGGTATTTGAAAAACATCAGATACATAAATCAGTGTCCAAAAGGAATTCAATAAAACAGGCAGAATATGGACAAGAAATTTGTTGGTAGCTCTATGGCTCCAGCACTAATTTGTCCATGAACAGCTCAATAGATTCATAATTCATTAAAAGATAACACTTAAAGTCAATTAGAGGCAGGATTTCAAGAGCTTAGATGAGATCATTTGATAATGAATGTATCTATTTTGTTTGTCAATAAAATAGTCCATTGTTATTTAATAAGACTTTAGATTTAGTATTTCTTTACATTTAAGTTTTTTTCAAAAACATTTATTTGTAATAATATGTAATCTGTATTTTCAAATATGCAGTATTATGTACAGAAGATAAATTTAAAATTTTGTATGGCAGTTTTGCCCAGTAGTTGGGATTATATATTTCAGAATGAACCATTGACTTCTTTATCCAATCAAAAATTCATTATTCATTACTCAATATGTGCCTTAATGCTATGTGCCAAAGGAGATGATGTCCTGTGAGATATAAAAATGAAAGCAATATGCTCCATGTTGTCTTGTTTATGGTATTTTGGGAAAACAATGCCCAAGAAATGACTACATTTGAAAAGCTAAAAGTTCTGCTAGGCATGGTAGTGCACCCCTGTAATCCCAGCAGCTCAGGAGGCTGAGGCAGAAGGATCAGGAGTTCAAAGCCAACCTCAGCAAAATTGAGGCACTAAGCAACTCAGTGAGACCCTGTCTCTAAATTAAAAAAAAAAAAAAAAGTACAAAAAATAGGGTTGGGGATGGACTCACTTTAGTGACCCTGAGTTCAATCTCCAGTACACGGTACCCCCATGCGGCCCACAAAAAATCAGTGATCTATTTGTTAAATTGTTCCCTCAGCATTAGTACAGATCATTTTCAGCCATAGGTTTGTTTGGGTGGGGCTGCCTATAGTCATACCCAGGACAGCCTCTGATTGACTTGAGTGTAACCTATACTCCTAAGATTGGTTCAGGAATGAATCCATGATGAAGCACACTATAAGACTACCAAGAGGGATACAAGTCTTCTCCTATCCTGGAGCTTTATAGCAAGGTTCTTTCCCTATCTATCATCTATCTATCTATCTATCTGCACAAGGATGAGAAACAATGATATCCTAGGAACTGTCTTCAGCTATCTTTCATCAATGAGAAAAGAGCCTTCCTGAAAAAGAACTAGCCCTGAGGAGGCAAAGCTGAAAAATGGAAAGAACTAAGCCTTGGTCTGTAATCAAGTTATGCCTCATGGTTATATATGCAAACAAATTCCTTTTCTTATAAGGAGAGTTGAGTTTTACAAGATATATATGTATATGTATACATAATATATGTATACTAACCTACAGCTCTAACATACCTATTTAAAAATTAATATAAGTGAAATATAGGGAAATGCATTTCCCTAAAACCTGCTCCCCAACACAGCAAGCATGTTCAATATCAACATAAACATCCCAAATGAAGGGAAGGGTTATAAAACATATCCAGCATCATATTACATGCAGGTCTGTAGCACAAAACAAGTCTTTCTAGAGCAAATCTAGATGTAAATCCTTCAAAAATAAAATGAGAACTCAATCTACCATACTAAAGTGGGGTTTTGTCCTCCACTTTTGTTTTTTCTAGTGGGAGTATAAAATATTTGAGAAGAAACAAACACACATATAATAATCTAAGAGTCAAGTCCTGAGGAAGATTTATAAAACAAGAGGCACCATGAAAGTTACTTGATATTCAATGAAAGACTATAAAGATCAAATGAAAACTGAAGGGATGGATAATGTATTCAATATCTAATTGATATTCTAATTAAATTACCAATTATTTAGGGATCATTAGTAGTGAGATACTTTCTCATCTCTTTTAATAACATAGATTTCCAATGTTGATCATATTTTAAAGATATATCTATAAGAATCAACACAGTGATGGTAACATGTAAATAGCCTTTTCAGCCCAAATGTCCAGAGGTCTTGACTAAGCAGGATGATTTTTAACTTGGGAATGGAGATTAGAAAAAAAGTTCTGCCTGATTCAGTGATCTGCCTTACCAAGTAATCTGAAAACCAGTTTTACATCTTTTAAAATTACTGTTTTTTAATTTTAAAATAATTACATTCATAAAAAGTTGTAAATACCATACAGAGATGTTCTATATACCCTTCACCAAATTTCCCTCAAGGTTTACATCTAACTTTTTTTTTTACAAAATGAAAACCAGGAATTTGACATTGGAACAATGTGTGCATAGTTCTATGACACTGATCACAGGTAAATTTGTGTAATCATGGACCAGATACAGAACTATGACATTGCCACAAGGATCTCCTTTGTTCAACCCCTTTACAGTCACTTCCACACTCCCATCTCCACCAAAACAAATTTCATGTAACAACTACTCTTTCTAGATGACTCCATTTATTTTTCTATTTAAATCTGGTCTTGTCTATTTCATATCTGTAAAATGCTTTTCTCATTTTGAATTTGACGTCCTGGCCTATTCATGGGCCTGATGCTCAATTTTGAAAACACCTCAATAAATCTGAACCTTCAAACTTATTTCCTTTAAAATTTGGTGGTGATGGAAGTCTGACATATGGTGAATTCTCTTTTCTAATAAAAAGTACTCATTTTTGGTGATTTCAATTTTGGCCCCATGCTTCCATAGCTTTCTCTAGAATCTCCCCTTAGCCTTCCAGGTTTTAACCTTTTTTCTCGCAACAGTAAAATCCAGATTCTAATTTATTATTCCAACCAAAGGAAACATTTGCAAGATAGGATTACAACACATTAATTCACCGAGATTTACAAAGTACCTATAATGTTGTTTCAATTAGGTCTTAAGACTGAGCCTAGGGTTGTGGCTCAGTGGTAGAGCACTTGCTTCGCATGCATGAGGCACTTGAGTTTGATCCTCAGCACCACATAAAAATAAATAAAATAAAGATATTGTGTCCATCTACAACTAAATTAAAAAAAAAAGATAATTAAAATGATTACAGCGTTACACGTTAAATGCAGATACCATAAAAGGGCTTGGATGCTCTACGGTGGCTAAGTCATCCTTCTTGCGGGCAACTAAAGACTCTTAACTCTTGTCCTCAAATATTCATTCCAGCTCTCAGATCTTCACATTGAAGAGCACACACACACAAAAAAAACTGCTACTCTTCAATCTGGCCTTCTCTTGAAACCTAGGCTAGAGGTTGGGAATGGGATGGTGCTAATTTAATTCTAACACCTGAAATTACCTCCCGAGCTTGTGCTAATTTTCTCAAAATCAATTTTTGGGGAGTATCAGGATAACTTTCAGCTCAGAGACGAAATGTAATTTTAGTTTGGACTTTGTAAATACTTCACAACACAAAAACAGCACCTTTTCTTATTCAGCACGCAGTTTTTACTTTTGGTTTTCATTGTAGGGTGGGGCCAAAGAACCAAGATTCTGCTTAAACTTTATTCCCACCCACAGTGCCCGTAAACACGGCCTTTTGCAGATAGGCCCAAGGTGGCAACAGTCCTCAGTTTCTGGGATTTCAACAGTTGAGCGGCTGTGCTCAATCTAGTCTAATCTGACATGAGAAAGCTGCCCACCCTCCTCTCAGGAAGAAACATAATTTTAATGTAGGTGCAGAGGCGGGGCCGCACTTCTCGGCGCCTCCGCACTTCCTTGGCGCCACATTAGCAGCCTCCGGAGTCCACCTAGGTACCGCGGGGGCAGCCTGGCAAGGCTCCAGGCCCGCGCCCCCGCCCTTTTTTCCGGGGTGGCTCCGCGCGGCCGGCGTCCTGCACCAGGCTTGCGCTCGCCTCCCTGCCGGGCGCGGGAAGGGCGCTCCGCCTCCCAAAGGCCAGCGGCGGCCATGGCGGCCAAGGCGGCCAGTCAGGTCCGGGCGTGGGCGGGCGCCGCGCTCCGCAGGCCAGCCCACACCGCCCGGCCACCAGTCCCTCTCTGGGTCGGCACAGGGTTCCGACAGCGTCTGGGCCTCACGCTGGATTCGGCAGAGGGAGACCACGGCGGGTCCACGCCCGGCTCGCAAGGCGGGCCCGATGGAGCAGCAAAGCTCTCGGCGAACGAAGAGTTAACCGCAGCGGAACAGCAGATCGCGGAGCTGCACGCCGCCGCCTGCGCGGTGAGACCCCGCCCGGTCCCGCCCCGGCGCCGCGCCTGCGCACGCCGCCTCTCCCGCCCCGAGGTCGCCCCACTCTGGAGAGCAGCTGGGAGCGCCGGCTGCTGGGTCTCCGGCCTCGGGCCCCAACCCGCACCATTTCGCTGGAAATCCGGCGTTCTGGACAAAGCGTTTACTGCGTATTTTGAGGGAGAGCTAGACTCATTTTCTGATTAACATCCTAGCTAAACTCGGGGCGCAGAGTGGGACCCACCACCGAGCGTGTGTTTGTGCTCCCGCGTCCGTGTGCGTGTGGGGGGGCGGGTGTTAAAGCTTTGATGGAAATGAAATAATTGAAATCATAGGAAAAATTTGCTGTGTTATAGAAATATGATGTATCTCTATTCTCCCTTGAACAATTTTCTGTTTCCAGTGATTTTAATAATGAGAAATAAGACAATTTTTGCTACCGTCCTCTGTTCTTTTTCCTCTCATCAGGTGTTTACATTCTTCCTAAACACTCTTGAACTACATTTGCTTCTATTTTGTGGTTTTGATGATTGCTTCTTACTACCAATATCCGAACTCAGTGGCTCTCTCTGTCCTCCACCATCAGCCGTGCTGGGGATAGAACCCTGGGCCTCGCACGTGCTGGGTGCTCTCTCAATGAGCATACCAGCAGCTTTCCCTTGTAACTTTTCAGACTGCATAAGTTAGAAGATAGCACATTTACCTTTGTATTTCCTTTACAAAAGAAAGGATGGGATAAAAAGAGAAACATTTCTATAACAATGATAGAAAAATGATATGAAATTAACTGCAGGGTCATGTGTGTGTATGCATCCATGTCCAGTACTTAATAGGACTAGTGTTATAAGGTATGGCCAGAGCTAGAGGGGTAAAAAAGAAAATCTTGGAGCTTGACTAAAGTTGATTTTTTAAAATGACAATTTGAAGGCCTTGAGAATCCACTGACCCATTCAAGTATTGAAATTGAATAAAGATGCATGCTGAAATGACTGACAGCTTTTGATTATTCTTGTTTATACTTTTAAAAACAGCATGTGTGATTTGTTACCACACTTCACATATAAATATGGTGATATAGCCATAAGTTTCATTCTCTTTAGAGCAAACACCAACAGCATATAAAGATAGGTTCAGTCAGCATGAGGAAAGAAAAGAACTTTTTCTCGCTCAGGGAATCTACACTTGTTTCATCAGTGTCAGTATCAGGTAAAATGACAATCCAGGAAACCGTTAGTAAACCCAGTGACAATTTTGTTTTTCAACAAATCAGAGCTAGCTCACAATGGTCCTTCTACGCCTCAGGCAGGATGCTCTCTTACCTTTCTCTCAGTGCTGATGTGCATCACTGATCACCTTGGTCTCCAATCAGACTGTCAACCCTCTTGCTGAATCTTTGTTGCCACCATGATGTAAGCCTCCTTTATGAAGGACAAATTAAGTGTGTATGGGCAACTAAGGAGCTCAGAGGTGCTCAATCAATGTGGAAAGGAAAGCAGCCAGCGCATGTGCAGAAGCAACCCTTTATGTTTCCAAGTTGCCAGATAATTGCCCTCAGAATACACCCAGAAGCTATGAAAAGTAAAAAGAAGACTGCTACAAAGTTCTCAGTATTTTTTTCTTTTTTCCAAGTTTCCATATAGGGCTTTGTAAATAAGGAATTGAGGTCCTGACAATTGGTCATTCAATAGTTGTGTTTAGTGTTCCTGGCTTCATGTAATCTGCTTCTGGTCCCAGAGGATGTGGAAGGCCCCTGAAACCAGGCTTGTGCCTTGCTGGATTTCTGTGGCCCTGGTCTAGCTTTACTGAAATGTCTTAGAATGAACTTGTCCTTTTGCTACACACTCTATTCACAAAATTTAGTTGGTTAAAACCTCAACCACAATAAAATATCCAGCCATTAAATAAGATAGTGAACAACAAAAGAAGTTGTTTGTGACTCCCTACAAAAATGTATGTCTGAAGATAGGCTGGTTTCATGTGTATTTTAATGAAAAGTTTCTATACAGGAGTGATTCAGTGACTTACTACATGGTAAGAGGTTTATATAAAAACCTCATGGGGAATTTACCCTACAAAATCTCAAAGCTAAGTAGTGTCACCTATATGACCCAATCCATGAAGTTATAATTTACTTTTACCTTCACAGAAAGTAATTGAGATGCTTTTATTCATTTGTTTTACTATGTTTGAATGTAGGTAGAGAATGTTTCCTTGACATGTGAAGCAGTCTACTAAAAGTTGACTTTGATCAAACTTGTGAAAGCAGTGAGTGTTAATATGTTAAAACAATACTTTTTCACTTAAAAATAGAATAACACTCCAGGAAAAAAAAAAAGGAAAATAGTGTAAAACGTATAATAGGGTAACACATCATGAAAGTAAAGAAAAGCATTCAATAATAGGAAAGGCAATACTTTTCTATAAGGAATGCTGGTTTTGATTAGCACCTTTTCTGTAAGTTTAAATCATGATTCACATATTTTAAGTTCTAAAATTGCAATTGCAACTTCTGAGTGAAAGTTCATTTTCAGCCTCTTAAGCTCTTAAAATCATTTAAATCACCTGTTATTAAGTGTGTTACCTAGAAACTGAATGAAAAATATCAGAGCAGTGGCTACATTGTTATTGAGTATAGAGGAGGTCTTGTTTTCCCATCAACTTCTCATTTTTCTCAAATTGTATATTTTCTTCTTTAGTCACATAAAGTTAGATTGTATATAATGTCAGAATGCATTCAGTCTTTAATTGCAAATGCCGCTAACATTGCTGAGAAGTTTAATATTGTTTTTAAAATTGTTTTTGCAGTATTTTAGAAGTAGAAGTTATGTTGAGATATGATGAACATAGAGATTAATGAATTGTTTTGTTTTATTACTCTTCAGACTGGCCAGCTTAACTATGTGGACCCAGCTACTGGCTACACGGTGCTCACACGGATAGCCCACTTGCAGAGAGGTTCCTGCTGTGGCTCCGCCTGTAGACACGTGAGTAACAATTCTCGCCTTACAGCAGCAGTTTTTGGTGCTTCGTAAATACCTATTATTTGAACAACAAGTCAAATAAAAAAGCTAAATAAACCTGGAGTGCACTTTTCACAAGTTACTTTAGCCAAGGACAATGAAGTCCTTAGTACCAACATAGGACCTTTAAAGTTAATGGAATTTTGTAACCTTTCACTGCAAGTATCAGTTCCCTCAAATGCTATACTTGATATTCATGGGAGCTCTTTATTACAAGGAAACTTTTCATGAAGTTTCAAATAAGTTATGTTTACTGGGCAGGTACAAAGAGACAAGAAGAGAAATCAAGAATGTTGCAAACTAGATCCCAGAAAGCTTTTCTTTTATTATTAGCTGAATAAATAGAAATTTGCCCAGCATTGAGAGGTGGGTTTACTTAAAATAGTAAATATTTCTTTCTTCCTTGCCCTTCTCTCCCTTCCCTTCCTTTCGTATCCTTCTCTTCCCCTGCATCCTTCCCTTTTGTCCTTCCTGCTTCCTTTTGTCTTTGTTCCCACCCCCCAGTCTGTGCTTCAAATAGTCTGTGAAGTTAGATTACCCTGAATTTAGTGCTTTTCATTTCCTAATATATTTATGTCAATAGATATATTTCTATTTATACTGATTAAGATGAACTAACTACTACTGCCCTATATTGATTAAAGAAAACCAGGATTTTTTTTTTAATTATCAAAAGGTACATCATTAAGGTAAATTGTTATAGGCTTAAGATTATAAACTTAACATCTGTATACAGAACACTTTGTATGTTTTGTTGCAAGAAGGTGTTATTTCCTTTAACTAACCTACTTGAAAATTATAGACATTAAATGCAGGTATTAATCATAGCCGGTATTAAAAATTTCACCCTTCACTTTTATGTATGCTCCTACCTATGCCATTAGCTGTTTCTAATCAAATGCATAAGAGTTTCGAGTAAATTGAGGACTTCAGTATTTTCCAAGAGTGGATTTTTGACAGTAAAATGCTTAAGGTTGGAAGGATGCATTTAGGAAATGGTTCTTGGACCTAATTAGGACCATTTGCCTGAGGTTGCCATTATTTTCCTCTTAGTCTGCAAAACGTGATAGACCAAATGATCTATATAATGTTATTAGCAGTCTTTTTTTCACCATAAGACGTGTGTTTTTTCAAGATGATTATTAGATAACTCAATAATGCTATGTATTATTTCTTTTTCAGTGTCCATATGGTCAAGTCAATGTTAAAGATCCATCTAAAAAGAAGAAATTCAATTCATATTTTTATGTTTGACAACAGTTTTATCTCCGTTGTCTAAGTGAACTTGTAATTTTTAAGAAATGAAGCCTTAATCCAGGATTGCTCTCTGTGCTGTTAAGTATTTGAGCTCTAATTTAATCTTCAATACATATATTAAAAGAACATCAATAAAAGAAAAAGCTAACAAATGTTATGTGTTTCTGAAGTGGCACATTGATAGCTATTTTCCTTTCTTTTTGCTTCATTATCAGACACATATGTTGAAGAAAGAAAATAATGACTGTTCTATTAAATAAAAGTAGCAATTGGGTCACATGAGTAGCTCTTGATTTTTCTTAGCCTTGGTTCTCCCACTGTTTTCTCATCAGTGTTACTATCCAAGGGGGGTTGCTGGCAAATGGAACAGTACATCCTTCATTTTATTTATATCTGGAGCTATAAGGAGATTGATATAATGTTATGTTGTGCAGCATATGAGTGCCCAAGAAGTGCCATCCTGCATTAAGAAATGCTCTCATCTTCCATCTGTTCCTTCAATGAAAACTTTAAATCATTGTGACTTGGGGGTCAGGCCGCTGAAGATGCCACACTTAGACCATTCTTTCTTCCCTCCCCCATCCTTTCCTCCTCCATCTCTTTTGATACTTCTCAGGCAAATTTATCCTAGAATGTATTATTAGCTACATCCATTCTATTCACTGTGGTAATGCCCCTGTGAAGTGCCAGTCTCCAAGCTGAGTAGGTGCTCCCAGGGACTGTTCTTTTCACACCATCCCAGCTTCTCCATGAGGATAGCAGCCCCCAAGAGACCCTTTTCTGCCTAGTGGAATTCATTCAGTAAAATGAGGCTGCTGCCTACTAGGAAGGCTGGCTTTGCTCATAACTGACCTTCATTGAGCCTTATACTGGTGGAATCTGAAAGGTTCTTGAACACCTCAGGGGTCTACTTCAGGCTGGCCTGTGGCCCCAAGGGCTTTCAGTTTCTAAGCAGAGGGCCCTGGTACCTTCTAAATAAATAATTCAAAATAAAAGCCTTTCCTAACTGTACAATATGTGAAAAGAAGCCTAGTGATTTCAATGTTTCTCTTAATTATAACTCTCTGTTTTCTTACGTCTAATATTAAATTGCCTCCATATATTGTGGCATTTTTGATGCCCCTAGTTCTGCTGATGCCTTAACCATGGCACCCCAAACAATATTTTCCATGAGCCATGTGAGAGGTCAGTAACTTCCTTGGATACAGAAGGTTGGTGATTTTGGCCTGTTTTGTCCTCTCCTCAAATTATGTTGCGGAAGGGAGTAGACGGTGATCAGCATTGTGATTGTGAAGATAGTTACTCTTTCCAGAAAGGCAGAAGGGTTCCTGGGAGCCAATTTCCTTTCCATTCTTAGGTTAGAAAATAACCAGATATTTCCCCCCTTTTCTGCCAGATTTGGAGAATTAACAAGGCTTTTTTTCTGGTTGTAGGATGGATGGTGCTTTCTTCAGTAGCCCCAAAGGGGAGAACAGAAGGAAACTGAGTTTTTAAAGGCCATCTTTCTAGAGAACTAGGAAAGGAGGAAAGGAAGTAGTTCTTTTGAAAAGAGCAAAATACATAGGGCAGTGTTTTGAGAAAGCCTCTTGGTAGGTGGAAGTAACTCCTAGGATGCCCCCTTCCCACAAACAGCTCTTTCTTCCTCCCAGAGCACTCCTTGAAAAAAGGAAATGGCCCAAGAAAAAATCAGAAATCACCAAGGACCCTTATGTGGGACCTTGGCAATTCTTCCTGGCAGAATTTCAAACTTGCTGGCAAGACAGCAAAGTTGCTGATGGGTCAGGGAGTGCGGTCAAGAAGGGATACTCTTTCTCTTTCCTGCATCTTGTCCAAGGGTCTGAAGTTTGCAGTGGTTCTGGAGAGATGCATGTGAACCACACATCAGGGGTGGTAGCAGGGCGGGTGCCCCCACATTAAACACAATATGGCCACATAAATAGGCCTCACTGCAAGAGCTGTAAGCTATATTGTATTCACACATTGTAAAGTAAAAATTCAGGTTTCTTATTAGGTGTGTATATACAAACACATGTGGATGCCAAGAAATAGAGACTTCCCCATTTAAATAAACTCTGGTGCTGGTCACTTCCAAGGTTTCTGGAGACGTCTCCCCCTTCCCCCCAGGGTATAATAAATCAAGGGGATTGATTTCCACATTGTTTCTAACACCAAAGAATGGAGAAGCAGGGGTTTCCTGGGTAGGGGCCGGGACAGATTTCTGATTCTGTACTTCTTCCCTTAACTGGAAAAGGGCCCTGTCCTGGGCAGTTCTTCTGGCAAGTGAATGGTGATGTGCACTCTTCACACTTTGGAAGCTGCACTATCCCCACAGATTATTCAAAGGGAAGAAGAGGGGGCTTTTATGCTAATAAAATTCAGGGTGTGGTGGAACAGACAGAGCCCTGAAAACCCAATGTGCTCTCTGGGCCCGGCTCAGGTCTTTGTTTCAGTGAAATGCTGCTTCTCCAAAGGATTTCTTAAAGTCTGTTCCACATATACAGCTCCGCCATGAGAACCTAGTGGAGCTTAGATTTGATTCTCCACATAAGGTTAGAGAAGGAGGCTCTCTGTCTACAAAATGAATGACTTTTGGTATGCTGATTTCCTCCGAGCACTTTGAGACCACACAGTTGGTGGCCAGAGGAGAAAGAACCTCTATCATCTCCTTTCTTGTCTGTAACTACTACTTCATCTTCTCTATATTCCAACAAGGGCTTGAGTTTGTGGACTGACATCTGTCATGGTAGAAAATTTAAAACTGAGTGCTATTTTTCACTACCTTGCAACAATTAAGAGGTACTCCTGGATGCCAAAACTATTCTCTCCCTTCAGGGGGGAAAAAACAGATACTTAAGTGTGTGTATGTAGGTGTTGTGGGATGGTGAACTTTCTGATCACATCTGTAGAACCTGATTAAAAAAAAAAAAAAAAGGTTGTGGAAGAACCTACAACTATCTTTAGGCAGAGACTGTTGGCCCTACAATGTCCAGTACACCCTGGACTTCTGGATGCCTTGATATGTGCCCCTGTGGGTGCTGCATTGACCCTTCTCTCCCAAACAGTTTTGAGGTTGGGCTGATGACAGGAGACAGTCTTAGGGCTCTCCTTCTTGGAATTATGTTGTAAAAGAGAATGTTAAGTCAGGAATTATGGTTTCTAGAGGCATTTGGAGCATCTGTAACTACCACATCCTCCCACCCGATTTGTATTCTAAAGTGTAAGCCTTGGTGTGCACTTAAGTGTGTGTGTGTGTGTGTGTGTGTGTGTGTGTGTAATCCACATAATTGTAAAGTACTTAAACCAGTTTCTGACCCCCAAAGAGTTTTAAAAACAGTGCTTTGGGTATAAATGAGTTGAGAGGACTAGAGTGTTTTTCTTTTCTGGTGGGTGTCGCCATCCATCCATTCGATGACCTCCTTGACTAACTTAGAAGCTGAAACCCAGAGTCTTGGCCGCTCCTGGCTGCGAACTGACCTGACCGAGATAAGGGGATCCTGAAAGAAAGAGCTGAGGAGGCGAGGATGGAAGATTCTTTTTAGGCAGGGAAGCCTAAAAGGTAAACTGGTGGGACTGATTGGCTAGCAAGACTAGTTAGTGAAGACAAGTGTTCGGTTAAAAAAGTGGCTCTGCCCCCGGTGCTCTGAGCCAGACATTTCGGGATTTGGAATGGAAAGGGGGCTCGGATTCGCCCTTCATGCTCTGTCCCTTAACGCGTCCAAACTGTTTGGCAAAGCTTACGGGGCTGGCTGGCTTCCATCCCTACACCGCCCCACGTGTCGCCCCCAATCCCACGCAGTTTTTTGCTGGCTTCTAGGAGGCACACCCGCTCCCCCGGCCCTTCGCGCTCATGGCCCACGCACAGCCAAAGAGCTGTGATGGCACCCGGGGAGGGGGGAAGGCGGGTAGGGAAGGCGGGTAGGAAGGGCGGCACCATCATCCCGACCAGCATCCTAGAGCTGCCAATCTCACTGCTCACACCCCCTTCCCCACTGGCGCTGGAGCCTAGTAATATCCCGTGCCTCCCCATCCCCGGCTGTGAGGGGCGCACCTGGTGGGGGAGTGGGTAAAGAATTGACCGGAGGCCTAGCTTCGCGACTCTCCCTCCACTTTCCAGCGGCCTGACTGCGCCCGGGGCGACGCAGCCCCTAGGGAATCTGAGACCAGGTAACATGGCCCCCCGCCCCGTCCGGTGTCTGGCTGCGTCCCTGCGAATACTCGTCTGCTAGGGTTTAAGTGTCTTTTTTTTTTTTTTTTTCTCTCGGAAGATTAATCGCTACCCCGCCCCCTATTAGGGGCTAGAGCTGGAGAGAGGCCCGGGGCCCCTGGGTTGGCCGGGTCACTAACACCGCCCTCGAGCTCAAAATACTCTTCAACGTGCTCGGTTAACGATGTCCAGCTTAGGAGCGTGGAGAGTCAAGGAAAGATTGGGAGGGGAAGGCGGGGATGCGGTGGGTGAATGATCAATGGTTTAGCCCTGTTTCCCGCAGGAGTTACCGCCCATTCACCGTCTATGCAGGCACCAGCTGGCGGCAGCATCTTTTGGGTACCAGCTCCAGGAAAGCAAAGGCTGGCTGGAGGGCCGGAAGTCCAGGGCCCGCTGCGGTACTTCAGCCCCCCACTCCAGCCCCGGCTGAGCCCAGGTCTCAAGATGCTCTCGGCTTTATGAGGTTCAGTTACCGCCGAGTCCTCCATTAACACCTCCTCTGATTATTGAGAGGCTGGAAGGGCGGAACAGAGCCTCGGAAGCGTGCGTCCCAGCGCTAGCCCGCCTCTGTCTGTGCCCTCTGCTCATTCCTTCCTCCTCCCCTTTCCGATTTGAAAGCATAAACAGAAAATAAAAGACAGGTGGAGGGAGCTGAGGGTCAGAGGTGAGGGATTCCGGGTCAGTTCTTTGGAGAGAGAGGGATAGAGAGACAGAGAGAGAATAATTTTCACCCAACAGTTGATTTATTCATTTGAATTAACAGGGGGACCCTCTGCGAGAGACGTGGGAACTGGCCGGTACCTCTGGCAGCCACCTTCCGCACTCGCTCTCTACAACCGAATTCTTGGCGGGAATATCTGACATCTGGATATTAAGGTAAGATCCGGATGGGGGGGTTGCCCGGGCAGAGCACTTTTCTGTCCTTTGAGTGCTCCGGGCCCGCCGGGAGCTCCAGGGTGGTCTCGGGAGTCTACCCCAGAAAAGTCCGGCTTTGCTCAAAGTCGTCGCGTACTTGAGGTCTCCGGCGGGACCAGTGACTGCGACGCGCCCACCAGATGGGAGGAGGTGCTTGGGGGAC